AAACGGTAACAAGGGCGAAATAAGATAATCATAACCCAAAAAATCCCGAGCAAGATGTGGAGGCCGCGACGCCCTACCGGCCCCATGGACCCGGTCCACTGTCGCGTCCATCAGCAAAAGCCGAAGGGGGACAGCCCCGTCGGGCCCTCAACCCCCTCAGCTTTTCCATACACTCCGTTACCGCCGCGTCAACGCCGCTGGCCTCGATCCCTACACTTCCACCGCAATAGTCCAATACCATAACCAATAGGGCTAAGCCCAAGCCTGGTGCAATGGAGCGCGAACTCCAATATGAGGAGGTGTCGTGCCGCGCTTAGGCCTGGGAACAACAGCTTGGGCCTTCCTGTCCAACCACAACCGCCACGCCATCACCAGGCACCGACACCAGCCTACTTGAGCCGCGCCGTGGCTATCCCACGGGCCACCCCGCGCGCCAGTCCTACCATCGGTCGTGCATGTCGACCCAAAAGCGGACTTTTATCCCTTAGTCAAAACCGTAGCACGGTCCAGGTTGGTCGACTAGGCCGACCGTTCACTCAATCAAAGAAATCATACGAGCGCCTTAATTCGCGCCCTCACATACCCCCTAACTTAGCCAGGGCGGGTCTCGGACGCGGTCGTGCCTCGCACGACTTATTTCAACCAAACTCATTGTTCCCTGTCATCTGCAAAAACCCAGGGATACCCTTGTAAGGGTATTCGCGCCGACAGCGGCCCTCAGCAGCGCCCTGCTTCAACACACGACCGCACGTGCGCAACACCTTGCTTCAGCGCTAGCAGCCAGCACACGAGCGACTACTCCAGCAGCGCTGCCGCCAGCCAGCAAGTCCGTTAATCCCTCTCGAGGCAGCGCGTTTTTTCCTAAATGGAAAAAGCCTGCCTTCCACGGCAGCCTGACTGGCATGGGTCTCTGTCGAAAAGCTTCTAGTAGGCCCCAGGAGGTTGTGCCTTCGATGCTGCTGCTGAGCCTCTGTTCTATTAGGCCTCCCAACTGTCTGTGTACGAGGTTGCGATTCTTGACCAGGGCCTGCGTTTTCGAAAAGGCCTAAAAGACCATGGAATGTCTTTGCTGCTCGGTATGTATTTCCCTCAACCAAGTGGCGTGTCACAACTGCCTAAACCCCAAATACAAAATTGACCGCCGAGGGCCTCTCGTGTTTTGTTAGGCCCGCCATCACTTAGGGCGGGCGCATCTTCAACAGGGCCCCCTTAGGCCTACCGAGGATTCAGATCCTCGCATTATCCTCAAAAATAAGATTTATATTTATTTTTTGAATCGTTTGAAATTTTATGTTTGGTACTTCTTCAATGTATCTTGGTAAATTCTAACACCCGTAGAGCATGCGTTTCTTTTCAATCTATAAATCAGAATCTTAGTTGGTGTTATTAGTGAATTTTATATTCCACGGTAACTTTTATAATTATATTTTGAATTATTCAAAAGTGTATTTTTGGTACTGCTTGAGTGTATTTTTGTAAATTATTACATTTGGGGAACATACAGAAGTTGGTGTTCAACTGACATTTCGAGTAGCAAATTTTATTCTACCTAGATCAATAGGGTTGTGCTCAATATTTCATATATATGGAATTAGCTAAAAAATGAATTGTTTTTCTTGTATACCTTGTGATTCGTACTTTTTTTGTTGGTACATGAAATAAGGAATCTATAATATTGTTGTAGTCAAGGTAACCGGCATTTGGGACGGTCCAAACGCCCGAATCTGAACTCTCGAACGTATGGGACCCCTTGGGGATGCGTTCGGTCATTCGAGTCGAACACGGAGGAAAAAAAAATAAAAAAATAAAACAAATAAAACAAATATGAAAAAATGATATGTTATAAAGAAAAATAAATAAAACAAGATTTCCCTGAGCATTACATCTAAATTCCTTCCCAAATTTGAAATACAAATAAAATACGGAGAACAAATGCTAATAAATAAATAAAAAAATTAAAAAAAAAAAAAATTTAGTGAGTGTGCGAGCACGTTTTCGACATCGCCATCTTTGGTGATTTTTTATTTCTTTTTGGCATAGCCAAATTTCGTATAAATTTACAGATGTGTACTTCCCATAGTCCAAAACCCACTTAAAAAGTTTCAAAAAATAATAAAATTGTTTAGACCCCGAACTAAAATGAAAACAAAAAGTAAAAAGTGAAAAACAAAAGTGGGTGAGCACGTTTTGACACCGCCATCGTTGGCGATTTTTAATTTTTATTTGGTAGAGCCAAATAACGTCAAAATTTATATACATGTACCTCACGTTATAGAGAGCTCACAAAGAACAATTTAGAAAAACAACATTATTTTTATGCCTCAAAATATTTTTTTGTGGGGGTCGAACGCCTTCGGGTTCGGACCTCGAACACCCGTACGTATGGAGGTCGGCCCGGGGAGCTCCGTACATACGTGCTGGTGACCCTGGTTATAGTTATTCTTGATTAATAAAAATATATTTTAAGTCATTGATAAATCAATCCTGCAAATATATGATACATAACAAAATCATTTGATCATCCTACAAAATTTTGGAATCACACCGATTTTGATGTTGATATTTAACAAAATTTTTAATGATAATTGATAGTTAACTGAGATAAACTTGCTAGCTTTATTCAAACTGAGTTTTTTTCTCACAAACCTTTATACTTTAAACCACCACTCCTCCCGCCACTTGAACATAACCCTTTCCGTGAGCTTGGTCAACTTTTGAGGGAAGGTGGCGACTGAAGGCCAAAACGGCGAACTTAGTCTCTCAATTTCAACGTGACAACTTTGATGACTTTTGACGCTAGAAAAAATTTACAAAAAATTTTAAAATTTTAAGCATCAATGTATTATACCGTGAACTTTCAAGGAAAAATATTTAAAAAATAAATAAAAGAATCATTTTGAATGTGTCAAAGACTTTTAAAATGTAATTATTAAAAAGTTTACATACTCTCACTTAAGACAACTTAAACAATTGTCGCACTGATTCGGTGCATGTTATAGTTTTGTCATTGTGTCATATGTGGGCCCGCGAGAAAAGTACTTTATTTTCTATGATTTTTTGCGCTTCAAAATATACGTCAAAGACTCTGAAAATTTGAGGGTCCGTAAATTTGATCGTGATCTGTCAATAAAAATATTTTAAGAAATTAAAATTTTGCTTAAACTACGAAATAAATCGCGGAGGCAATCTAACACATTTTTAATTTTTGCTACTTTGTCAGTTTTTCATATTGTGCTACCGGTAACCCTAACTAACTTGTGCTACGGGTCCCCCCAATTTGTTGACGTCAGGGGAAATAGTTGTTTAAGTTGTCTTAGATAAAGGTCTGTAAACTCTTTGATAATGATAACAGTTGGTAATGTCAAATAATTGCATATAAAATTATTATATTAGACTTGGACACTTAATTTTGATGGCATGCAAAGGACACGAACCCGGAGGATAAAATATTCCCCTGCTCTCATATATATTGGAATGGGTTACTAGGTTAAACTCCATTTAAATTTATTTGAGATGTTATTGTCTAAAAGTGGAGTCAGACGTTAGATTATGATGTTTAAGTTATGAAACTCTTATTAACCCATTATCAAGAATAAATGGCAGATGTCATGTGCTATAGATTGATTGTTAATATTGATTGCTATCCTTGTTAGCTTCTCCATCTGTTGTGTTGCTGCAAAAAATCCTTAAAGAGGACCTGAAATGTAAAAAGTGTAGATAGGTATATGAGCTAACACCTCTATGTATGGATTGACTAACTTCTAAATGGGATACAAGATTGGTGGAAAAAACTGTGAGATTTATATTATGTTATTTTTTTTTGTTGAAAGAGAGTTTGAGTTTTGTAGGGAGGGATCCCAATAAGCTCAAACACTAAGAACGGTTAGATATATCTGACACAAATTTTTGAAACTGTTAGTTGTATAGTAACTTAGAAACATAAAATATGCAAATCTTTATTGTTAGATAAATAAGCAACAAGAAAACTTATGACATGTCCAACTATTTTCTTAGACAAATAATCATAGTATAAATAAGGATTAAGATAAACAAGGGGGAAAAGAGAGAGAGAGAGAGAGAGAGAGAGAGAGAGAGAGAGAGAGAGAGAGAGAGAGAGAGAGAGAGAGAGAGAGAGACCCCCACTCTTGCTTTTTTAGTTTGTTGCTTCCTCTCACAACATGTAGAATAAACAAAATATGACCGTATGTCTTTCCCTGATCTAAGAAAAGATTTTTTTGTTTTGCATGTTCGGTGAGTTGTGGATCGAGGTCTTTTTGTTTCATTTGTTATCTTATTGGAAATGTAATATGCAATATATGCAAATCGCAGGCTCTGACCTCCAGAAAAGCGCAAGGTAATGTCCTATTCAAATACATCATCGTTTTCCTTTTGAAATTCAAATAGAACTCTCATGTGTTGCGAGCAAAACCCATATGCGTTCTACTCGAAGCGTCCTGCTATTGAAAAAAATAGACCAACTTTTGAAAAATCAAACTTATTTCCACAAGGCTCGAAAATACAACATATGCCTTAGTTTCGGGGGAATACGATAGGGTTGTTGGTCCCTTGCAAGTTTTTTGAGGACGGTCATCGCGTTTGGCGCCAAGTGCAGCACGGATCGTTTACCCGTTTACCAGCGACTACTACTGGTACCTCTTGCCAAGCTTCGTCGGCGGTCTACCCCTACCAGTACCAGGTAGGTCCCACCTACGCAAATCCAGGGCCAGAACTAAAGAACACGCACAAGCGCGGGGCGTCAGCAGTCCCCAGGGCCAAGTCCCACTTACGCTGATTCTTCATTTCTGGCCGTTGATCTTCCAATCTACGGTCAGAAGTTGAGATTTCGGGTAAGTGGGACTTGGCCCCTGGTCAGTCAAATCGGGGTCCGCAGCACGGCGCTGTAGAGTAACAAAAGGTGGAAAAACCGGTGGCGTGCTGACAACCATCGCCCAACTTGGTGGAGGCGGATCCTCTTTGCGATCACAAGCGCGAAGTTTTGAGCGCCAAGTTTTCGAATCGAGCCCTTCTGTGCCCGCTCTCGAATAAGGTTTGCTGGCTGATTCCGTTTTGCGATTCCATTTGGACGCGAGCATCCCGTTAGCCTACCGGCCCGTCGTGTTCCGTTACTGCTGTCCTGAGAGTAGTAAGCAGGAGATCGATTGCAGCAAGATGTCGACAGGTGAGACTTCGCTGATGGGAGAGGCGGGGGGCTCCACGTCAGCAGGAAGCAGACGACCAAAACGCTTCGAGATCAAGAAGTGGAACGCTGTTGCGCTTTGGGCTTGGGGTATCGTATATTCCCCCTCACTTGTCCTCCCTCCTTTCCCCTGGTTTCCCCTGGTTTCCCTTGGTTTGCCTTGGTTTGCCTGGGGTTGCCCCTTGTTTCCGCTGGTTTTCCTTTGCTCGCCCCTCCTTTCCCCCCTCGTTTCCACCTTCCTTCTCCCTCCTTCCCCACTCCTTACCCGCTTCTTTTCACTCCTTTCGCCTCCTATCCCCTCTTTTCCCCGCTCCTTTCCCTCTCCTCTCCCCTCCCCCTCCCCTCGTTTCCCCCTTCCTTTCCCCCTTCCTTTCCCCTTTCCTTTCCCCCTTCCTTCGCCCCCTCGTCTCCCCCTTCCTCCTCTCCAATCCCCTCCTTTCCCCTCCT